TAAACAGTTCTTCAAATATATAATGATGAGTGATGGTAGGTGCCGTAAGGGAAAAATAGAGGGAGTAGGGAGCTGAGCTGGGCATAGGAGATACCAGGTTTGGGGAGAAAGGTGTGAGGACTAAACTCTGATTTTTTAAATCTTGCCCAAATTCCTATCTAAGGGGTGTAGGGAGTCATGCCCTATAAATCATAAATTCTCATCAGATGGGTTTTATTTAACCCTATATATTGTGACTTACTTTCCAACCTAGCTCTGGCATAACATTAGAAGACGAGGAGGAAAATCAAAATATTTTACCCCAAAACATGTTTCTTTGCCATATTTTGAAATGGTCCTGCAAAGTTGTTCTTTGTGGGGGAAAATTTGCATCTATAAAGAATCTCTATTAACATAGCTAGGTCTTTTTCTTCCAGACTCTCCCAGTCTCCTAAAGAGATTAACTAAGATCTGAATAGGAAACATTTGTCATCTATTGTCTCTAAGGGCAGCCACCATCAGACTTCAAAAGAACTTTGGTCTCCACAATCTTTATCTTAATCTGAACTTTCCCTTTCTATGAATTCCAGGTCTTTAGACAAACTCAACCAATTGTTAACCAGAAAATGTTTAAATTCACCTATAGCCTGGAAGCCCCCTGCCCCCCTCCTTCCTACTTTGAGTTGTCAAACCTTTCTGGACCAAACAACCTATATATATGTTTTTGTTGTTGTTGTTGTTTTTTGAGATGGATGGAGTCTTGCTCTGTCACCTAGGCTGAAGTGCAGTGGTGTGATCTCAGCTTACTGCAACTTCTGCCTCCTGGGTTCAAGTGATTCTTGTGCCTCAGCCTTCTGAGTAGCTGGGACCACAGGTGTGCACTACTATACCCAGCTAATTTTTTTGTGTTTTTAATAGAGATGGGGGTTTCACCATATTGGCCAGGCTGGTCTCAAACTCCTGACCTCAAGTGATCCACCCACCTCAGCCTCCCAAACTGCTGGGATTACAGGCGTGAGCCCAGTCCCAAACCTATTATTTCTTCAATGTATTTGATTGGTGTCTCATACCTCTCTAAAATGTATAAAACCAAGCAGCACCCCAGCCACCTTGCACACATGTTCTCAGGACCTCCTGAGGGCTGTCATGGGCCATGGTCACTCATATTTGGCTCAGAATAAATTTCTTCAAATATTTTAGAGTTCGACTCTTTTTGTCAACAGGTGGGAATAGATGCTCCCCTGCCAGTGTCAGGGTCACCCTAGGCCATTGGCCCCCTGAGGTCACCAGCAGTTTCCTGGATTTCTCTCACAAGTTCTCCCTCATTCTGGCTCTGGAAGAGAGATTTGCCCTGCCTCACCCCCAGACACTCACAGACACTGAGGCCCTTTCTTATTCTGGAGCAAGCACAAGCTCTTGACAAGCCCAGTAAAGTCACTCCCAGCTATCAAAAAGCAGTTACGTAAAAAGAGAAAGGAAATGCGCCATCGTCTTCCTGCTGCTCCCTCCCCAGAACAGGCCTTATCAGCCTCACCTTCGACTGTGGCAATAGCCTTGGGGTTTCAGGAAGATAACAGTTACAGCTACTCCTCTCTTAGGGGCTGAGCTGAGTCCTTCCAAAAACCCTGTGTTGAAGCCCCAGACCCTTAGAACGTGACTGTATCTGTAGGCAAGGCATTTTAAGAGGTGATTAAGGTAAAAGGAGGTCATGTGGTTTGGCCCTAATCCAGTATGTCTGGTGTCCTCATAAGACGACAAGATTAAGACAAATGCAGAGACCTGGGGAAGGTGGCTATCTGCAAGCCAAACAGAGGCCTCAGAAGAAACCAAGTCCTCTGACACATTGATCTTGGACTCCTGGCCTCCAGAACAGTAAGAAAATAAGTTTCTGTTGTTCAAGCCACCTGGTCTGTGGGTTTTGTTATGGCAGTGAGGACTCAACTCTGACGTTTTTTTTCTCTTGCTAAATTCCTATTTAAGGGGCCTGGGGAGTCACAACCTACAAACCATAAAATCTCAACAGAGCGGTTTTGTTTAACCTTATATAATGTGGCTCACTTTCCATACTGACTCTGGCATAACATCACATGACAGATAAGAAAGAAATCAAATATTTTACCGCCAAATATGTTTCTTTGCCATATTTTAAAATGGCCTGCAGAGCCATTCTTGTGGGGGGAAATTGCATTTATAAAAAATCTCTGCTAACATAACTAGACCTTTCCCCCTTCCAGGCCCTCCCAAGCCTGAAGAAATTAATTGAGTCTAGCACCTTTTTGGGGTCTGAATAGAAAACATTTGCCATCTATTGTCTCTAAGGGTGGCCACCCATGAGGCTTCATCTACATAATGAGAACCCTGATCTCCACCACCTCTTATCTTGACCCAGACACTCCTTTCTATTGATTCCAGACCTTTAGATAATAACTTAACTCTTTTCACCAATAGCCAATCAGAAAGTCTTGGAGTCCCCCTGTGACCTGTAACCCCCACCCCAACTGCATCTTTGAATTGCGCCACCTTTGGAAACTGAACCAATGCATAAAACCTGGCTGCAGCCCAATCACTTTAGGCACATATTCTCAGGACCTCTTGGGACTGTGCCTTGGGCCTTGGTCACTCATATTTGGCTCTGAATAAACCTCTTTAAATATTTTACAGAGTTTGACTTTTTTCATCCACAGCAGCCCAAGCAAACGAACGTATCCTCCTTCCTCATTTCATCCAGGAAGGAAGTGGGGCTGGATGGGGACCGTGCACCACTGGCCTCAAGCTGCAAGATCTGCACTGGTTCCAGGGGCTGGGACTAGGACCCAGATCTGATTCCAGTGCAGTGTCCCATGTCCAGACCCATTCAACTTGTAAACCAAAAGTAAAATTCTAGGCCCCACAACCAACCGAATGGACCCCTCCTCTCAGCCAAAGGCATTCCAAAGTTAATCTGAAAAACAGTTCAGACTGTGATGGGAAGTGGGGGTTGGATATGCCTTATTATGCTGTCTCCTCCCTTTGGAATTCAGGCACAACCGACCAGCATTAATATTAAAACAAAGATCTGAAGACTGACCAAACAGACTCATTGCAGCAATAAGACACCAAGTTCTAACCTGGCTCTAGTATAGCATCACGTGACAGTGGGCCCTGAAAGAAATTAAAGTATTTTACCCCAAAATATTAATATATTTATTTGACATATTTTGAAATGGCCCTGCAAACCTTGCTCTTGTGGGGAAAATCTACTCTGCAGAGAATCCCCATCCCTTTCCAAGTCTTTTCCCTGATCCAGGCACCCTTTTAGGTCTGATAAGAGCCTAAAGCCTGCTTCCTGGAGGCTTCATCTGCATGATAAAACCTCCATACCCCTTAACTTAACCCAGACAGGCTCTTCTATTGAGTCCAGGTCTGTAGGTACTTACTTAACTCTTTCAACCAATAACCAATCAGGAAGTCTTTGAATCCGCCTATGACCTGGAAGCCCACCTCTTCGAGCTGTCCCACCTTTCTGGACCAAACCAATGTACATATTACATGTATTGATCGATGTCTCATGTCTCCCTAAAATGTATAAAACCAAGATGTAGCCCAATAACCTTCAGCACACGTTCTCAGGATCCCCTGGGGCTGTGTTACAGGCCATTGGTCTCTCATACTTGCCTCAGAATAAATCTCTTCAACTATTTCGGAATTTGACTCTTTTCTTCCACAAACTGGCCCCTCCAGCCCCGGCTTCCTCTCACTGTGTATGCAGAGCACCCTTCCTGAGCACATCTGACTGAATTTCCCCAAGTAAGCCCCTTAAGTAACCCAGCTCCACCTACTCAGCAACATCTGAACAAACTCAGCTCCACACCTGAAGCCCTTCCAGTTCCATCCTGAGTCAATGCTTCTCAAACTTTAAAGTGCATCAGAATCACCTGGAGGGCCTGGTAAAATGCAGATTCCTGGGCCCAGCTTCCAGAGAGTGCTCCTCAGTTGGTCTGGGGTGGGGACCCGAAACTTGCATTTTTAACAAGTTTCCAGGTGAGGCTGATGCTGGTGGCCACAGCTTAGGTAGCACTGGCTAAGACACCTTATCCCAGGACCCTTCATGCACTCTCCCTCCGTCCTCTGCCCTCAGCACCCCATGTGCTTGAGCCTTTGCCCAGCCTGGGCCCAGTGCAGGAATTCCCTGCTGCCAAGTCTGACGCTATGGGTCAGATCCCGGACCTCCTCACTCAGGATAAAGTTGAGAGGTTGTGCTTCTTTTTAAAGGGAAAGCCTTATTGGGATTTGAACCAGAACTGGAAGGACTCTAGTAAAATGCAGATATTTGGGCCCACCCCCAGACACAGGCCTCCCTGTGGGACATGCTGCTATGGTCGCTTTCTCCATGTACGGATGAACAAAGGATGGCCCAGAGATGGGAAGTGACTTTTCCAAGGGCACACAGCACATTAGACGAGAGGCTGAAGAATTATTCAAGTCTCAAGTCTCCTTCCTGTGCAGTTCTGTGCTTCTTGTGCTGCCCTTTCCGAGCTTAAGGGGTTCTGTTTTTTTCCCCTTCCCTCATTCTACTTTCTTGTGAGCCCAGCTGGGCCCCAGCATTTCAGGCTGACGCTGACATGGAGCCTCAGGGGGCTGTAAAACTTGGAAAAGGAAGAAGAGTGGGGGAAGGGACAAGAAAATGGGGGGAAGAGGGCCGGGCGGGGTGGCTCACACCTGTAATCCCAGCACTTTGGGAGGCCAAGGCAGGCAGACCACGAGGTCGGGAGATTGTGACCATCCTGGCCAACATGGTGAAACTCAGTCTTTACTAAAAATACAAAAATTAGCTGGGCGTGGTGGTGCACACCTGTAGTCACAGGGAGGATGAGGTAGGAGAATCGCTTGAACCCAGGAGGCAGAGGTTGCAGTGAGCCGAGATTGCGCCACTGCACTGCAGCCTGGCAACAGAGCAAGACTCCATCTCAAAAAAGAAAAAGAAAAGAAAGAAATTGAGGGGAAGAGATAAAACCCTTTGTGGTGAAGGGAGGAAGGAATGGGAAGTCACCCAAGGCTGTCCAGGGAGCTGGGGGTGGGGCTGTTTCTGGAACCTAAACACACATACCACCTCCCCTTCCTCTGACCCAATGAGGTCTCGAGCTGGAAACCACAAACCCTCACTCACCCCACAGGAGCCAGCGTCTGGCTTCCCTCTGGCCACGTGCTGCAGACCCGGAGTGGGTGGTTAGTTGGTTAATGCCAGTCTTCCTCCCCCGGACACGGAGTTCTGCCGACAGCCCCCGCCCCCGTCAGAGCTCTACCTTATACCGCTGGGAGTGGAGCTGGTGTGGAGCCTGGAGGTCACCCGCTGCCCTCCCAGGGCTGCTCCGGACAGCATTAAGACCCTGCAGGGCACAGGTGAGACTAATAGCTGGGAGAGCTGCTCCAGGCATTTAGGACCTGGGACAGGTGAGTCAGCCCAGTGGGGGCAGGGCTCCTGGAACAAGGATCTACAGCTGGAGTTGCCCCACCCTCATGTCACCTGGAGAAAAACTGGACCCAATTCCCGACAGCTTCATTCTGCAACCGCCAGTCTTCCACCCGGTGAGTTGTCACTAATGTGGAACCTCCTCGGTGTCTGGGCTCTTCCCTTCCAACTGGGCCCAGACTCCTGGGTGGTGGGGTGGAGAGGACCTCAGTCTCTGGCTCGGCTTCTCCCAAGCACCTGCCCTGGGTTCTGGAAGGCCCTCCTGAGCTAAGCGAAGTGGCTGACTGCTAATTCCCACTTGGGTGTAAATGACTGCTAGGCTTCCAGGGTCGCTGCATTTTGAAAGCGGTGAAGCCTGGAGCCGCAGTGCTCTGCCCCTCCTGTAAAGGATGCTAGGAGGATGACGGTGTGGGTAGGATTGTTGGGGGGATGCTGATTACTTAGTAAGGAGAGTCTCATCCCCAACTTGGAAGGAACGGTCGGGTGGGAATTTCCACTCAGGGATGGGGGTTGCGGGGGGTTTCTCTCTTCCTCCTCTTGCTCAGTCAGTGCCCAGGAGGTTTTCTGAAGCCAGGCAATGATTTACAGGAGGCTGAATTCCCAGCAGACACTCTCTACTAATGAGCATTAATTATCACTTTCCCTTACTTGGCCCTCCCCTCCCATGAGAGCTGCATCCTCTCAGTTAATTACAAGCCTGGAGGAAGCCTGGGAATGGGAAGTGATCAACTGCTGAACCAGCTGAGCTTGCCAGGCTGGCATCCCAAGCCTCCCCCCCATGCTTCTCAGGTGCCTGAGGAATGGGCAGAAGCAGCTGCCCAGGTTACGGCAGCTCCTCGCTTTAGAGGTTGCGAGCTCCCACCTGGAGGGCCATCCTGGTGGGTTTCAGGTTTTTCTAGGTGGTTTGGGTTCCTAAAGGTTGCTGGGAGTTAGAGAGCAACACAGGAAGGCCTATCTTGTGATACCACTGGTGTGTACCTGCCATCCTGCTCACACTCATTCCGAACACATCGATGCAGAGCCCTCACGGCGCCAGGCGAGGCACTGAGCCTACAGGAGGGAAAGATAAGGCTTCAGTTTTGAAGGGCTTATAAACTCCTAGGGGAAACAGCCAACCAGACCCTCTAAGCCAAGGGCCAAGCCAGCCACATGAGCAAAATGCCCTGGAAGCTCCGGGGAAGAAAGGAATAATCCAGAAACCCAAGTGGATGATGCTTGGAAAAAGAGTCAGGGTGAAAAGAAACAGGAGGAACAGCCCAGAAAAGGCAGGAAGTTGTAAAAGTGTGTAATGTATTTTAGGAAGGCCGGGTAACTTCTTCTTCTTCTTTTTTTTTTTTTTTGAGACTGAGTCTTGCTTTTTTGCCCAGCCTGGAGTACAGTGGCATGCGTGATCTCAGCTCGCTGCAACCTCTGCCTCCCAGGCTCAAGAAATTCTCCTGCCTCAGCCTCCTGAGTAGCTGGGATTACAGGTGCATGCCACCACTCCCAGCTAATTTTTGCATTTTTAGTAGAGATGGTTTCACCATGTTGGCCAGGCTGGTCTCGAACTCCTGATCTCAAGTTGATCTGCCTGCCTCAGCCTCCTAGAGTGCTGAGATTACAGGCATAAGCCACAGAGCCCAGCCCAGGAAACTTCTACTTGGGGAAAGGTGAGCCTGGGAAGGCCATTGTTAAGCGTCTCTCCAGGGGTCCACTTCAGAGTTAGCTGTCAGTTCCTAACTTGTCCATTCTTCTTGCTTCCCAGTTCCTAGTCTCCAGCCACTAAACAGTCCTCAGAAAGTCCCAGTACCAGGCTTCTGGGGACCAGGGTGGCATCTAGTGGATGGCAAGCGTCCCTGGGGTCACTGCAGCCTGTTGTGCCCTAGGAGCTGGAGAAAGGCAGCTGGCTGGTGCTGAATTTGGCAAGGGAGCTGAATTTGACTTCTCTGGTGTAATGTGGCTTTGCTGTATGAAGGTCCAGGAAAGGGGATTAGGTGGAAGAAAATACTTCAGTGAACACTGATTTTTACCTCTAAGAAATTTTCTGTTTGGGGAGGAAAAGTTGAGTTTTATTCTGCTCCTTTCCTCCCACTCCCCTGACATAGAGGTTCCTAAGCCCTTTCTCCAACCCTGCATGGATGGGTTTCTCTTCTTGTTCAGGTGGTTCCTTATGTCACGACAATTTTTGGAGGCCTGCATGCAGGCAAGATGGTGATGCTGCAAGGAGTGGTCCCTCTAGATGCACACAGGTAAGGTGGGGGAGGTGACCCAGGGGGTGCTGGAGCTCAGTCCTAGAGGCATCGAGCTGGAGGTCTCCTCGCTGCCTCCGGGATCTCTGTGGGTCTCTGATCAGAACTGTACTTCGAGGGGCTCACCTCCCAGTAGGTTTCAGGTGGACTTCCAGTGTGGCTGCAGCCTGTGTCCCCGGCCAGATATCGCCTTCCACTTCAACCCTCGTTTCCATACCACCAAGCCCCACGTCATCTGCAACACTCTGCATGGTGGACGCTGGCAAAGGGAGGCCCGGTGGCCCCACCTGGCCCTGCAGAAAGGCTCCAGCTTCCTCATCCTCTTTCTCTTTGGGAATGAGGAAGTGAAGGTGAAGGAAGGGATGGGCATTGGGTGGTCTAGAATTTGTGTCCTTGCACCCTTCCTTCCCTTCCCAGACTCCCCACGATGCGGTGTTGAGTGTCATTGGTAGTGGTCAAGTACCAAGAGGACCAAGAAGCTGCCATGCTCAGTTCCAGGCTGCCCTGGGCCTACATGGCAGCAAGAAAGCTCTACAGTGCCTGGCTCCAAAGAGGGCACTGCTGTCATAGTCATGGCAAGCACTTAGAGAGCACCTGCTGTATACCAGGAACTGTTCTAAGCCCTTTAAAGGTATCTGCTCATTGAATCCTCACAATAACCCCATTAGGTAGGTACCTTCATTATCCCCATCTTACAGCCACAGTGGCAGGGAAGAGGGAGAGAGAACTTGACCTCAAGGTTTTGACCTCTAATGTGAGCTCCTGCCGGAAACATGATGGGATCTTCAGATTTCTCCAGGAGACAGGGCAGCTGGTGGGAGGGGAGCCTCTTGGGCCTCAGTTTCCTCACGTAAATGGAGTGAAGATGATTCTTTGGGCTGCTGAGAAAGTGCAATGAGGGGCCTCTATCGGGGTAGAGGGAGCGTTGAAGGTGCCTTTATCTCCAGACCACCTCTGCAACCTTTGGAAGATTACTTAAGCCACCCAAGGCTCTGTAAAATGTACCTACCTCATAGAGTTGGTATGAAGTTAAGTGAGGAAAATTGAGGGAAAAGTGCTTGGCAATGCCTGGGACGTTGTTATGAACTCAATGAACATTAGCTGCTGCTGAGCCAGCCTCTGTCTGTCTCTCCAGGTGAGTGTGAATGGACAGCACTTTCTCCACTTCCGCTACCAGCTCCCACTGTCTCATGTGGACACGCTGGGCATATTTGGTGACATTCTGGTAGAGGCTGTTGGATTCCTGAACATCAATGTAAGTTTCCTTGGGACCAAGGCCTGGGCAATGGCAGTGTCTAATTTCCCCTGACTCCTGGACAGGCCTGGGACCCCTTCCTCCACCCTAGACTGAGAGAGGGAGGAGGCCCTGTGCACCAGTAATAGCCAAGGGGGAGGGAGTCCACTGAGGTTTCAGGTGTGAGCGGGCTGAGGGGGAAGAGAAGGTGATGGCAGAAAGAGGGCCCAGGAGCCACAGGCGGGAGCCTGTACCCAGTGTGGGTCTGGTTAACACTGAGAAGCAATGGCCGGGAATGATTTGGCACACTGGGGCTGAAACAGGCGGCAGCTGGCTTTATCATTCTCACCTGATGGGCTTATGAGAGCCCAGATTTCTGGGGCTTGCCACCAGAGATTCTGATTTGGTAAGTACAAGGTGGGGCCTAGGAATTGGGATGTTCAAAATGCCAGCAAGAAGCCACCACTGACCAGCTGAATGGGAACATGAGGAGCTCTAAAGGCCAAAGCCAGGGCTCTGCCCATCTCCCAGGCATAGGTAGGGGACTGCAGTGGTCCTAAATGCTGCTGATTCTTTTCTCTCTTTCTGAACAGCCATTCGTGGAGGGCAGCAGAGAGTACCCAGCTGGACACGTGAGTCTCTTGTGAGCAAGGTCTGAGCAGCCACACCAGCTGATCCGCCCTTCTGTACGGCTGCTCCCATTACACAAGACCCAGCTGCCCCTTCCCTCACTGCTATGGTTGCCATGGACACAGCTGGCTCTGCTTCAGTCTCTGGAGGGCCTGGATTTGCCTCTCCCAGCCCCTCTCCAGGCCCAGCTTGGGAAGATGAATGGGGGTGCGCTGCGTGCAGAGGGGGCAAGACCCTATATTCCTAGCAGGAGAGGCCTTAGTTGAAACGCTCATTTCTCAAACCACCCCTGCGAGGTGGCTGGGGTTGGCCTAGCAGGACAGAAGGGGAGATGAGGCCCATGTACTGCTCAAGGCCACACAGGGAGTGGATGACAGATCCTCCACCCCTTTCTTCCCTATTATTCCAGAGTTGGTGAACCTCTGAAGTCCAGAGGATCCCACTGGGGCTCCAATAACTCACCTGCTACTGTGAGAGAGACAAACCCCAAAGATTCCCAATTTGTCAGAATAACAAGAGGTTCCCTTTTCCTGAGCAAACACCGCATGGCCTTGTGTCCTCTCTTTCTTTCCCTGACAGCCTTTCCTGCTGATGAGCCCCAGGCTGGTGAGTGAACCTCCCTCCTGCTCCATCAGGGCTGGGGGCGCAGTCTGGGTAAGCAGTTAATGAGCTCCTCCTGGTGGGAAATCCCCAGCCTCAGGATTTCCCCTTCCTTTACAGAAAACTGCAAGCTGTGGGTAGGCCAGGAAGTTTACGCCCTCAGCCCCAGGATTTCCCCTTCCTTTATAGCAAGCTGCGGGCTGTGGGAGGGCTGGGCAGCTTCAGGCTGAAGCTCCAGCTTCATTTTACCTTTTCTCCACTTATTCTGAACATCGTTACTTGATACTTCGCTGTGCCAGGCCCAGTGCGAGGCTCTAGGATAGAGGAACAAGCTGGTCCCAGCCATCCAGTTGCTCACAAGCTGGTGGGGGACAGACCACTAGATGGTCATTACAGTTCAGGATGCAGTGAAGGGAGAAGGACATGGTGGTTGGGACACAGAGAGGCCAAGCTCTGCCTGGAGGGGCCAGGGAAAGTGTTCGGCAGGAGCAGAGTACAGGAGGCCAGGTGCTAAACAAATAAGCAGCGCCTCCTGGCTGCAGGTCTGGGCAGAACATGCCTGCCCGGGTGCTCCCCTGGCCCCCGGGGGTGGGTGGTTCTCCCCAACACCCGCTGGGAGTCAACTTCTCCATACCTCCCTCGTTCCTTCAGGAGGTGCCCTGCTCACATGCTCTTCCCCAGGGTCTCTGGCCCGGGCAGGTCATCATAGTGCGGGCACTGGTCTTGCAAGAGCCGAAGCAGTAAGTATCCAGCTTGTAAGTGGAGGGGAGGGAGCAGCCTCTCTTTGACAGTCATGTGCTCTATAAAACATCATCTCTTTTAATCTCCTAGCCCCACCATTTAATCCCCATTTTACAGATGAGGTAACAGAGGAGCAGAAAGGAGAAGTGGCCCAATTTGGCAGAGCTTATGAAGGTCAGGCTGGGACTAGGACCAACAGCCCCAGTGCGGGGAGCATCATTCCTGCTGGTACATGTAGTCAGGCCTAGCCTCTTGTCCCAGGTCCTAGGAAAGGGGCCCCAGGAGAGGCCCTTTGTAGATGCAGGCTGAGGCCCAGAGCAAACATGTAGCTTCCCATGGTAACACAATGTGTGCTTCAAAAGATACAGCCAGACTGCCCCAGAGAAGAGGACTGGTATTTGGAAGCCAGGACTTGGAGGGACACAGTGACTAAGTGGACGCTACCAAACTTCTCCTACATGGTGCGTTCAAACCCAGACCTGTGGCTGCAATCCAGTTAGACAAGAGCCACTGGCCAGCCTGCCTCGAGGAAATGCATTAGAGTTTATGACTTCTTGGGCCCAAATCCCGGGGTTGGCATGTGCTCAGGACACCTACTACCTGTGCAACCTTAGGGCAGATACTTTTCCTCTCTGTGCCTCTGTTTCCCTGTCTGTAACAAGGAGATGATAGACCGGGCGTGGTGGCTCATGCCTATAATCCCAGTACTTTGGGAGGCCGAGGTGGGCGGATCATGAGGCCAGGAGTTCGAGACCAGCCTGACCAACATGGTGAAACCCCGTCTCTACCTAAAAATAACAAAAATTAGCCCAGGCGTGGTGGTGCACGCCTGTAATCCAGCTACTTGGGAGGCTGAGGCAGGAGAATCGCTTGAACCCAGGAGGCAGAGGTTGCAGTGAGCCCGAGATCACACTACTGCACTCCAGCCTGGGTGACAAAGGAGACTCTTCCTCAAAAATAAATTAAATAAATAAAATACAGTGGGGTTGATAACAATGCCACCTTTAGGGGTGGTGCTTAGAATAGTACCTGGCGCGTGGTAAGTGCTCCGGAAATGTGGGTGCTATTGCAATCATCTCAGCACAGGCAGGGGAGGGCGGAGGAAGGGAAGTACCCTGTGTTCTCCTTGCTCAATTTTTTTTTTCTTTTTTTTTTTTGAGACAAAGTCTCGCTCTTGTCCCCCAGGCTGGAGTGAAATGATGTGGATTACAGGTGTGAGCCACCGTGCCTGGCCTTCTTACTCAATTTTGTTTTTATATTTAAGCCACTGACCTCACTAAACCCTTACCCTGCACACTGTCAATCATGCCTGTGAATTCCCGGGCAGGCATGAAGCTCAGCACTCAGCGGCCTGAGCCTCCAAAGACAGGCACGGCTGAGTTGGATTCCTGGTTTTGTCTCTTATAAACGGGGCAGTCGTGGGCCAGTCACTAAACCTCTCTGAGTCTGAGTTTCCCTTCCAGAAAAAGGCGAACGATAATTCCAGCCTGCTAGGGAAAATGAAAAGTACTCAGTGATGGAACCAACACTTCTTCCCACAAAACTTGGAGGCATGAGACCCGGTTCATATCGTAGCTCAAAGTCACAAGGTTACTAGTGACATAGTCAGCAAGTAACTGCCCTTTCCCAAGGGCCATGAATGCATGTGTCCTCAGAAGCCAGACAAGTCTCACAAATAGTGAGGAACCCAGTTGGGAAGCTGGTGAAGGGGAAGGAGTATTTCCATACACCCAGTCATGCCAGATCTTCTGACTATTTTTAAAGCGAAAATAGAAGCCGTCTTTTCTACAAACTCTCTCAATTTTTGAATATTGTATTAAAGTTGAAGAATACTATGGACCAGACAAAACATTCCTATATACCAGTTCAGCTGAGATCCACCAACATGAAGATTTAGCACAGCACCTGATACTTAGCGAGGCTGCAAAGAATGCAGCTGCTGCTATTTTGTGAAGGCAACCGATGGCTTGAATGGGGCAGAGGGAGTAAGAGATGGAGGGCGCAGGATTCATCTGCAGTGAAAATCTATCCCTCTTTCTCCACCTCATCCCTTTCCTTCTCCTCACTGAGTGAGAGTGTATGACTGCAGCCTCAAAGAGCTTCAGCAGAGCTTCACTGGGCATCTGGTGATTTGTGATTATTCAGTGATCTAGTGGGCATCTAGTGATTCATGATTATCCGGTGATCTGGTGAGCTGAGCTGCATGGAGGTGAAGTAGGGAGACACTGAGGCCTCCTCACCAGGAGTTCGCAGGCCAGGGGAAGATAAAGCATTGTCTGGCAGGACAGGGTAGGGGGAGCCATAGTGGGGCTGGAGGCTCCACGCAGTCCACTCTCCAGGGTTCCTGCCTTCCAAGCTTCTTTCCAAAATTGAGTCCTGGCCACCTCCTTCCCAAAGCTGGAAACTTACGGAACCTCCGCCTGTGACGATCTACCAGTAGTCCCTGAAAGGCCTGTCCAGGGCGGCCTTTTCCCCTACCTTACCTGCTCTCTGCATCTTGTCGGGATGCAGCCTTCTCCGGCATAGTGCTTCAAAGAAGGAGACTTTGGAAGTTCCCAAGAGATAAAAATAATCTGGGCCAGGCGCAGTGGCTCACACCTGTAATCCCAGCACTTTGGGAGGCTGAGGTGGGTGGATCACGAGGTCAAGAGATCAAGACCATCCTGGCCAACATAGTGAAACCCCGTCTCTATTAAAAATACAAAAATTAGCTGGGCATGGTGGTGCGCACACCTGTAATCCCAGCTACTCGGGAGGCTGAGGCAGGAGAATCACTTGAACCCGAGAGGGGGAGGTTACAGTGAGCCGAGATCGTGCCGCTGCACTCCAGCCTGGGTGACAGAGCAAGACTCCATCTCAAAAAACTAAAATAAAGAAAAATAATAATCTGGTTGCCCTATTTGAGAGGCAGGTACCGGATCCCCCCACCCCCAAATCTGGGGTCGTGAATCCTAGTTCACATCCTAACCTGAGGCTGTACGACTATTACTCATAACAGAAGTCATTTAACTTCTTGTTCTCATCACTTAAACGGGCTGACAAACTCACAGCACAGAATTTGTGAGGATTAAGGAAAGGCAAACTAGCTTCTGTAAAACACCTACTGTGTGCTAGGAATCACTAGTTTTCACATACATTATCTCCTTTGTTGCTTTTTGTGGCTCTGTGAGGTAGAGATTGTACTATATAGTAATATTTTTAAACAGTAGGTGTCATCTGAATGCTTATTACATACCAGGTGCTGTTCTCCATAAGCATTTTTTATGTATTAATTCGTTTAATTCTTATGACAATGCCACAGGCAGGTACAGTGCAGTTATCGCTACATTACGGATGAGGAAGCTGAGGCAGAGAGATTAAGGGTCTTGCCCAAGGTCACAGGACTAGAAAGTAGCAGAGCCAGGGTTGAACCTGGGCTGCCTGACTCTAACCACTATGCTATTTGGAAAACATTTAAGACAATTTTTAAGACAATACCTGGCACTAAGCATTCAATAAATGTTAGCTGCGGCTATCATCATCATAATCACCCCCATTTTGAGAAGGAGAAACTGAGGCTCTGGCTAGGCAATTTTCACACATTTCCCTCCCACCCCCATCCTCCTGTAGTCAGTAGATGGCAACCCTGAAGTCAATGTCAAGTTCATCTAGAACTGGTGTTCTTTCCACTGTTCTGAGCATCCAGCCGTGAGGCTGTCATAGGCCCTCAGTGCTTGTTTCTGGAGGCTGAAGCAGCTCAATCTTCCATCCACTTCCCCACCTCCACCCTTCCCCTGGGGGCTGAGCAGCAGCCTGCGGGCAACGGGCGCTGATCCCTTCTCCCTCCTCCTGCTTCCTGCAGTTTCACTCTGAGCCTGAGGGACCAGGCTTCCCGTGCTCCTGTGTCACTCAGGGCTTCCTTCACAGACAGAACTCTGGCCTGGATATCCCCCTGGGGGCAGAAGAAGCTGATCTCAGCCCCCTTCCTCTTTTACCCCCAGAGATTCTTTGAGGTGGGTCAGAGCCAAGTGGTTACATCCCTTCAGGCTGGAGCACAGAGCTGAAGTCCCATAATGACCTGGGAGACTCTGGGGCGGGTGTACAGGGCAGATGTTATGGGGTGGGAGGCCCGAGCCAGCAGAGCATAGCGAATGTCTGTACAGCGGTCCTCAATGCTCCACTCTGATGCCAGGGATCCCATGGCCAGAAACTCAATTGGTGCAGGTGGGGACCCAACATCAGCTTTAGTAAAAAGCTCCCCTAATGATGCCGACACGCAGAACCACTCCTCTACAGGAAGCAGTCCCAGTTACAGGTGGTGAAACTGAGGCCCAAGGTTGGGAAGATCCTTGTCAAAGGCCACAGTGGACTGGTGACAAGCCAGGCCCCTGTCCTGTTCTTTTCCAGCACTGTACTGGCTGCCTCCGGGTCCAATCTTTGTGTCCTCTGAGAGGAGGAGGGTCTCACTGGGGAGAGCATCAGGCAGACAACGGAAAGTCTGGCTGGAAGCTGCAACCTCCTCATTCCTCCTTTCCCAGGTGCTGCTCCTGTGCCAGGAGGGAGGGCTGAAGCTGGCGCTCAATGGGCAGGGACTGGGGGCCACCAGCGTGAACCAGCAGGCCCTGGAGCAGCTGCGGGAGCTCCGGATCAGTGGAAGTGTCCAGCTCTACTGTGTCCACTCCTGAGGAGGGTTCCAGGGAAACCCTGACAGAAAACAGGAAGGTCAGCCCACACCCAGGGCCCAGCTCTCCTCCCCTCATTAAACCGTCCACCTGACACCCCCACATCAGGCCTGGTTCACTTCTGGGCTCACGGGCCTGAGTCTGCAGGAGCTTTGGGCCTGAGGGAAGGCACAAGGGTGCAAAGGGTCCTCGGACTCTGCACCTTCCTCCACCAGGAGCCTGGGATTTGGCTCCATCTGCCTTCAGGGCCTGAGGTGTACTCACAGAGGCAGGTTTTGTAGACTAACAAAGATACTCCAAAATACAATGGCTTAAAGGATGCGGTCATTTATTCTTTATTATTTATTTGTTGCATTCTCATCTAGCAATTCTAGAGACAATGGTCCAGGTTAGTGGGGCAGCTCTGCTCCCCAGAGACATTCAGGGTCTGTCCTAGCCATTGTTCCACCACCCCCAGGGCATCATCGTTGTCTCCTTGGCCGAAGCTCAGCTGCCACCCTATCTTGGTCTCAGCCACTGAGAAGGCTAACAGTGGCTGTGGACCAGACCCACCTGATCTCATATGCCCCAGGCCTGGGTCTGACACATACCCGGGACAGTCACATTTTATCTGCAGGCACTCACTCTCAGTCTCACTACCTGGAAGGGAGGCTGAACATGTTCTCCAGTGGGACATCCATGAGACCGGCCACATAAAACAGAATAGTCACAAAATAACAGAATAGTTTTATTCTATTGCTATAAAAAACAGGGAGAATGGATTTTGGTGGATAGCCACAGTCTCTGAGACAAGTAGATGCTGTGAATATCCTCATTTTATAACACAGGAAACTGAGGCACAGAAAGGCTAAGTAATTGGCCAAGATCACACAGTGAGTAAGTCATGGGATTAGAACCCAGGAATTCTGTCTGCAGAGTTTGTGGCTCTTAACCATAAACTATTATCTAGTGTGCACAGGCACACTAGAGCTTCCAGATAAAGATGGGCATTGGAGCTGGAGGCTTGAGAGGAATCAAAGAACCTTGCAAATTGAAAAGTACAGACAAGAGAAAAGAAGGACCACCACCAAGGAAAGAGCAAGATTAAATGAGAAATAATTTAAGAATTATATACAACTGTATATAATATGTACCATATAAAAATACATATAACATAGTATACATTATAGTAATATATGTGCCATGGTCTGAATGTTTGTGTCCCCCCCAGCTAAAATTTATATGTTGAAATCCTAGCACCCAAGGAGATGGTATTTGGAGGTGGGGCCTTTGGGAAGTGATTAGGTCATGAAGGTGGAGCCCTCATGAATGGGATTAGTGCCCTTATAAAAGAGACTCCAGGCTGGGCGTGGTGGCTCATGCCTGTAATCCCAGCACTTTGGGAGGCCAAGGCAGGCAGATCACCTGAAGTCAGTAGTTCGAGTCCCAGACGCTGCTTATCAGCAGTGTGCACAGGACCCTAAATGCGCCTGGGCCACAATTCCTGAAGAGAAAGTCCCAGTACAATCCTTTTTACATATAATGCAAGGGTCACAGGAGCCCTATGTGCAAATTCTTGCAAGATTATAAGAGGCAGTGAAGCGTCAGATTCCTCACACCACAGCTGCAGAAATGCTAACCTTACCTCTAGCTTTTGAGAATGCAAATGCAGATTGTAAACATGCACTGGCACCAGTGAGGTATGCAAAAAACTTGGGAAGTTTTCTCTGAGCTTGTCAGGATGTAGGAACTGAGCTTCATCGCTCTGTAATGTTAGCACAAGTAATGGCTAATTTAGCAGGTGACAAATCTAAAAGGAGCCAAAGGTCAGACCCTAAAATGGGAAAATGTTATAATTGTGGAAAAACTGGACATTTTGAAAAAGGAATGCCGCCAGATCTCAGGACAGAAAGGACCTTACAATGCAGTGCCCCACCTAGCTGAAAAAAAATGCCAGAACTTTGTCCTTGGTGTAACAAAGGAAATAACTGGGCTAATCAGTGCTGCTCAAAATGTCATCAGAATGGCACCCCCATGCTGGGAAATGAGAAGGGAGCCTGGACCCAGGCCCCACAAACAATGAGGGTGTTCCCAGTCCAGCCCTCAACCCCGTTTCAGGGATGGGTTCCCAGAGGCACATTGATTCCCTCACCCCAGGGACACCAGGAAGTGCAGGATTAGATCTCCCAGTCAGAGAATGGGTAACGTTACCTGGGGGAGACCAACCCACCAAGATTCCCAGTAGCATTTGGGGACCTTTACCAACAGGATATATGGGACTAATTTTAGGCAAAAGCCATCTTAACTTGCAAGGCATCACTGTAGTCCCAGGAGTAATTGACTCCGATTATGAAGGCGAAATTCAAGTAGTTTTAATGTCACAAGATCTTTGGGTTTTTTAACCAGGAGAATATATTGCTCAATTATTGCTTATTCCCTGCAAGTCACACCCTTCTCCACGAAAGGAGAAACAAGGAAATAAAGGATTTGGGAGCACAAATAGGTCAATAGTCAGTGGTCTCATTGTCTGAAGTGTTATCCAAGTTCATTGTCTCATGACCAAGAAAATTAAGGAGCATGGCTCCAAAGGGTGAGGTTGGAGTGAAACTTTAATAAGCAAAAGAAGAAAGCTCTCCATAGCAAAGAGGGGAGCCTGAGTGGGATGTCATTTTACAGTTGAATGCAAAAGCTCTTATAAGAAACTCCTCTCATTTCTGTAACTGTTTGAGTAACTTCTCTTATCTGTTTAGGTGTCTCTGTAATTCCCCTTATCTATGCAGCTGTGGGTATGTCTCTAGGCAAGTCCAAAGCGCAGCATCTCTTGTTTGTATAACTGTGAGTCTGTTTTAAGTAAGTCTCCCTCCCTTCCCCACGAAAGCTCCTACAGCATCCCCTTGTACATGTCTGAAAAGCAGAGGAAACTTTTTCCTGGGAGCCCACTAATCACACAAAGTACAAAAGGCTTCTGTGCTAGGAGCCTGCTTATCTGTGCAGCTGCAGTCTGAGCTCCCCAGGCTGCTCTATTTTTGCCTGTAGCTGTAATTTTTCAGGCAGGCTGCTTCTCTGAGGACCAGCCTTAGCTGTCTGCCTCACTGATTTTTCCTTTTATTCTCCCTCAACAGGGTGACTGGGAAAATAAATGGCTTTTTTCCCCCAATAAAATTAGTCACTTTTATTTAAAAGAAACATTAGGCTGGGCGCGGTGGCTCAAGCCTGTAATCCCAGCACTTTGGGAGGCCGAGACGGGTGGATCACGAGGTCAGGAGATCGAGACCATCCTGGCTAACATGGTGAAACCCCGTCTCTACTAAAAAATACAAAAAACTAGCCGGGTGAGGTGGCGGGCACCTGTAGTCCCAGTTACTTGGGAGGCTGAGGCAGGAGAATGGCGTGAACCTGGGAGGCGGAGCTTGCTGTGAGCTGAGATCCGGCCATTGCACTCCAGCCTGGGTGACAGAGCGAGACTCCGTCTCAAAAAAAAATAAAATAAATAAAATAAAAGAAACATTAAAAATAAGTGTGTAAAATTAAACTGCATGATTAAATACACATAAAAGTAATATCCATACTTTACATCAAAATCCATATACAAAGTTTGTTGATTGCATAACAGTAAAGGAAATGGCAAAACTGAGAACTTGCTGCAAATGTTTGCAGCCTAAAATAACTATAAAATTGTTTCTTTAAAGGGAATTTAAGAATTAAATATATCCCTCAAGTAGTTGACAATGAAGAGCCCATAACTTATTTTAGTTACCAAATGTTTAAAAAGTGTTCTGCGTTCTTCCTCCCCAAAATGTTAGTGTACAGCTATTCTTATAAATGTTGAGGAGAGAAGATGGTGAGAAAGGAATGCAGAAACGACGGACCGACCAAGGCATTTCCTTCCACGCCGACAGCAGTCACCAGGGGTTGCTCTCAGGCACTGTTTTGTGGAGATGTCCCCACATTAAGTGATGCTTTCTTCTATGACAATTTTTAAAGCCTACGCATTACTTTGTTCCATGTACATCACAGGGAAGCTCAGTTTTAGCCCAGAATTTAACTTGGAGACCCAGCTGTCTCCCTCAAGCCCCAAGGACTGGTTGTTCTGCTTACTGAGTGAGTCTGGTGTCTGCCTCATCCTAATGGCTCCAACAGAAAGACTGAGATACCCACCTGTGGACACAGACAACCATCTTACAGACACAGAAAAGACCATGAGACTGGGCTCACATGAAAGGAAACATCCACACTGCGTTTTCTTAACAGGGTTATGTCATTTTTTTTTTCATGCTCAGGTGGAAGAGGGATTTCTTTTTCCTTATTATTTTTTTTTTTTTTTAGATAGTCTTGCTCTATCACCCAGGCTGGAGTGCAGTGGCATGATCTCAGCTCACTGCAACCTCTGCCTCCTGGGTTCAAGTGATTCTTCTACCTTAGCCTCCCAAGTAGCTGGGACTACAAGCACGCGCCACCATACCTAATTTTTGTATTTTTAGTGGAGACGGGGTTTCACCATATTGGCTAGGCTGGTCTCAAACTCTTGACCTTGTGATCCACCCACCTCAACCTCCCAAAGTGCTGGAATTACAGGTGTGAGCCACTGCAGCCGGCCTCTTTCTCTTTTTTTAAGACAACCTGCTGGTGTTCTATTTAAGTATGCTTATGGTGTAAGAACTAACATTTACATACTTGCTCATTTCCCCACTGTAGTCTCTGTAAAAATGATGAAATCTACTGCAAAAACAAACTTTTTATTGAAAACTGTTCCATTTAACAGTATTCAATAAAAACTCAGTGAGTTTTAGCATATATGTAGATTTCTGTAACACTGCTACAATCTATAACCATAGAGCAGCAAACAAAGACTTTCAAATTCTGTGATTTATAAGTTTAAAAATATTAAAGGAAAAAAGTCAAGAAATACCCAACTCAACTTTTTAAAGTACAAAGACTTGAGCAGGTATTTTACAAAGAATGATATTCAAATGCCCAAGTGTTGTATGAAATGAATTTTATGATTTCTTATAAAGTGATATGAAAAAGCTATTCAACATCATTACTGATCAGGTGAATACAAATGAAAACCACAAATTTATACATCTAGGCTTCCTCCAGAGGGATTTAAATGAAAAAGAATGGCCATGATAGTTGTTTTTAAGAAAGTGAATCAACTAGAACTTACAAAGTTTCCAGGTGGGAATATAAATTGATTTAACCACTTTGGAAGATGGCTTGGCTCTAGGTACTGGAGCTAAGTATACACTCCCCCAATCCATGACCCAAAAATTCTACTGCTAGACATGCACTCAAGAGAAATGAGTGTCTATACCACCAAATGCATGTACTAGAAAGTTCTGCTTTCTCAAATTCTTTAGCAACCAATTATCCCACTGATTGTGTCTTCTGTCTCCCTTTCTGACAACTTGTAAGCTTGTGTGGTTTGTAATGTCTTAGTGTAATTTTCATTCATAATTATTTCTGTATGAGAGTCCAGTATGCCCTAAATCTTGAGGGGCTTCACTAGTCGAACTTAGGAATTCCTCCAGTGGGTAGCAAAAATACAGACTTCCTAGCTGCACATAAAAAATGTCCCGTTTTGGTCCAGCTGCAAAAGTGGCAAGAAGCCCCTGAAACAGCCCAAGAAGCAAGCCAAGGAGATGAATGAGATAAGGCTTTCAAGAAGAAATAAGAGGAACAGAAGAAACTGCAGGAGCTAAAAGCAAAGTTCTCATGGAAGTGTCCCCTGGCTACAGGTAGAATTAAGAAGTCCGGCAAAAAGTAAGCTGTTCCTTGTTCCTGAGGTAATGGTGACCCTTGATTCCATTTCTGTTTAAACATCAGTAGGTATCCCTGCTGTAACATCTTTTGCCACCCGTAGCTAGAATGGAGTGTTGTCTTGGAGCCTGTCGCACATTTGGCTGGGCATGGTGGCTAACACCTGTAATCCCAGCACTTTGGGAAGATAAGGTGGGGGGATCACTTGAGGTCAGGAGTTCGAGACCAACCTGGCCAACATGGTGAAACCCCGTCTCTACAAAAAATACAAAATACACCTGTAGTCCCAGCTACTCAGAAGACTAAGGTGGGAGGATTGCTTGAACCCAGGAAGCGGAGGGTGCAGTGAGCCGAGATCACTCCACTGCACTCCAGCCTAGGTGACAGAGTGAGACTCTGTCTCAAAAATAAAATAAGCTTTTGTTCTAAACAAATAAATAATAAAAGCCTTGGGTTTAAATTTCTTATAGGAAGCTTTTAAATTTTTCCACTCAGAACTCTAAGCAGACTTCAGCTTTATATAGAAATCTCAGTTCTCAGTTCATATCTCTCATGGACTACACCTGGCTCCCTTTTTCCCACACAGGCATTAAAATCCTAGTTCCAAACACTTAGAATCTAGATCTAGACTAATGTACGCACACCTCCACCTGTCCCTGATACCCAGGTATCAGCTCATAAGTTTATGACTTCAACTTTAAGTTACTTCTTCATTCCTGGCAGTGGGATTTTTCTCTTTTTTTTTTTTCTTTTAAATTCAGTTATATATATATATATTTGTTCAGCCTTTCTAGGTGTTTTTGGAATACCTTTATATATAAGACATTATAGTAGATTCTGGGAGTCACGGTGCCTGGTTGCAGGGAATAACAAGTCTTTTTTTTTTTTTTTTTTTTTCTTCTTTTTTTCTTTTTGAGACAGAGTTTCGCTCTTATTGCCCAGGATGGAGTGCAGTGGCGCAATCTCAGCTCACTGCAACCTCCACCTCCCAGATTCAAGCAATTCTCCTGCCTCAACCTCCCAAGTAGCTCAGATTACAGGTGTGCACCACCATGCTCAGCTAATTTTTTTTTTTTTTTTTTTTTTAGTAGAGATGGGGTTTCACCATGTTGGCCAGGCTAGTCTCAAACTCTTGACCTCAGGTAATCTGCCCACCTCAGCCTCCCAAAGTACAGGGATTACAGGCATGAGCCACTGCACCCAGCCTGGGAATAACAATTCTTGTAGGGAAAATAGAGGTGAATCAGAGAAACGCATAATCAAAATTCAGTTGTAAATATGATGAGTGTCACAAAAAGGGACTTGCAGAGCTGAGAGCTCTGAGCTAGTCATGGAGAGTGGACAGAATTTTCATAGGAAGGATCCAGACTTTCCAATGAAGTAAATAGATATTCACATGCCCTGGGAACCAGGCTAGAGAATAAGTCGTCCTGAAAAAGGGAAGGTCCTTCTCCTCTCCATGTGCCCAAGCAACACTGGGCTGGACCCTAGTGAAGCAGCCATGGTGGAGAACACTGCCATCATGTAAGGCGAGCTGGGCCCTTGTACATGCAGGGAGAACAGGAGCTAGGCAGGCAGGCCCAGGCAGGACTCTCTAAATATATGAGCTGACTTGGGCCTGGGATTCTGAGCATAGGCACATTCAGTATTATAGTAGCAGGACTAAGTTATTCCCTTAGTTGGTCATCTTTTCTGGTATCTCTGGGCTTCCAGTAAATTCCTATTGTTAGATAAAGGCTTGGATTTGTTGTGCTGTGGGGATTAAGGAACCAGCATTTCATCTCTTTGAGATAATGAGTAAAGTAAGAGGTGTCACCTCTCCTCTCAAGGCCAGAACAATGGTGCCATAGTGACCTCACGAGAGGATGACTGTCCTAGAGAGGCCACTCTCTTGGGAAGGCTACTGGGGGCAGTGGCAGCAGCATGGCAGCCTGCAGGATGAAGATGCTGGAGTGAAAGACCATAGGGTCCATGCGATTTCTGAAGTCATGCCTGAAGCATGCAGGAACTAGCTAGGAGCCATATTGAGGACTTCCTGAAATCCAAGGGCAGCTTGACCCACAGAAGTGACTATTATTTCATGTAGTAGACACAGATGGATAAAGCCTACAGTCTTTGTTACAAATGAACATCTTTTATAACAAAGAAGGCTGACCAAAAGGGGGCACTGGAGGGATGGTGGAAGTTGTTGCCCTATCAGGGTTATTGGACTCATGCACAAGATGCTGAGGTTACCCAAGAATGTTAGTGCCTAGCCCACCCCAAGAATAAAATTGAGCAAGTCAGAAGTAAATGCAAGGAGCAAATTTATTGAGCATCTGCTATCGTCGGGGATTGTACCAAGCCATTTTACACCATCTCATTGAATCTCAACAAAACATGGTGAAACCGTCCTTGTTACCCCTATAATATAAATGCAGTGGAAGCTTAGATTTTAGGAGACTCTTTCAAAGGTGTGCAGCCGGAAGTACTCAACAAGTGCTCAATCATAGTTGCTTCCTTTCCAATGATTCATGAATCTATAATCAAGTAGTGGAAATATCTGATGAAGGGGTCACTAGGTTCCTTCATTTGATTCTTCAAGAAGTTCAGTCTTGTTACAATTTGTCCTTCCAAAAGCCAGTGAGAGAGAGAATGAGGTACACAGAGGAACAGCTGGTCTGTGAAGCAGCCTCTAACTAGGGAATTTTTAATGGCTTCTTCAAGCAGTGATAACTTTGGGCAAGAATGACTCAAATCATACAAGTCACTCCTATCCAAGCCACAATGATAGACACCGCACGTTTACCCTGCAAAGTAGAACAGGGCATTGTTCAGAGCCAAAAGAAAGTCTTTATTTTTCTCAAGTCACACAAAGACATAGTAATTCTTCTGTCCACCCCAGAGACCTTTCCCCCAGGAGGAAGTTGACTGTGTCCCTTCAGCAGCCCTGACCCTGGAGGTCCCCTAGAGGATAAGGAATCTGATCTAGATCTGAGATCAGTCCACACTCTGACAGCCCATGGGACCTTTTACGAGCTGCCTTCAGAGCTGGGCTCAGAAACAAAGGATCCCATATGGTCAGGGCCAGCCAGGCCTACACAGGTCCCCCACGCAACTCCTCATTCTGCACCCATGGAAACTGAGGCCCACATAGGGAAACAATCTGTCCAAAGACACTCACTGATAGAAGCTAATTTGTGATTTGAGCTCAGGTGTTCTCAAGCCATAGGAAGCTCAGAACTTGGGAGGGATCCAGACAGCTCAGAGCCCAGAAGGCTGAATGAGGAGATGCTGCCAAATTTGGGAATGAGGATGCTGGTGCACATCCGTGGCTGGCAGGAGTGTGTGGAAGAACCAGCCTCAAAGCAATAGCCTCTGGGGGATGTAGTCCAGAATAACACATTTAGCCTTAGCTAAATCTTGTGACTTCTCTGAACTGAAAAGACGTGAGGCATTTGCCCCATTTTCTAGATGAGGAAACCAAGTCTCAGTAAGGTGGTTTTGGGAACATCTCCTAGCAGGTCAGTGCTGGAACCAGAACCTGAGCCAGCTATTCCTGGTGTATGGGGTCATGATCCCTCACTTCGACTGCACTGAGGAGCCTTGAGAATTTCCCCACTGTAAAATACTCTTCAAAGCGAAGCAAACATGGGATTCAGTGGACACAGCACTGATCCTGGAGTCAAAGTAGATGGGTTCGGCCAGGCGTGGTGGCTCACGCCTGTAATCCCAGCACTTTGGGAGGCGGAGGTGGGCTGATCATGAGGTCAGGAGATCGAGACCATCTTGGCTAACGTGGTGAAACCCCATCTCTACTGAAAATACAAAAAATTAGTCCAGCGTGGTGGCGGGCACCTGTAGTCCCAGCTACTCGGGAGGCTGAGACAGGAGAATGGTGTGAACCCGGGAGGCGGAGCTTGCAGTGAGCCGAGATCGCGCCACTGCACTCCAGCCTGGGTGACAGAGCGAGACTCTATCTCAAAAAAAAAAGTAAATGCGTTCAATTTCTGAAGTGTCCTCTTTGCTTTGATCACCGTGGACAAGTTACCAGGAATCCTTGGGTCTCAGTGTCCCCAGCTGTGGAGCAATGAATAATAACCCCTATAATAATAACTCCTGTATTAATTAGATATGCCATTTAAATGTCTGGTCCTTGAGTTTCTATGTAAGAGGTGTCAGGAGGGCTCCCCTGATGTTTGCCAACAGCTTCATCTATCCCTCTGCCAACACAACTCCAGAGGGAGGCTTACCTGCTTGCTGTGGCGCTCATCATATCTGAGTGGCAAAGTGCTCACAGTTTGAATAAAGAATGTTGTAGTGAAACTTTTTGTCAATTCTCTCCCTTGCCAAGCGAATGATCTCGTGGACAGGCCATGGTCTGCACTTGTTGTCCAAGTAGCTGTTGACCTGGTATGTGCTATTCTGGACCGCATCCCCCAGAGGCTCATATTTCACCACACCCTTTGAAGACCCACCTAAAATACAGATAGACACTCTAAGGTACTACAGTGCTTGGGGATGCAATGTTGGAAAAGGATGGGGAGAAGGAAGAACAAAAAGTTCCACTATTGACCTTTGAGTGTGACTATTTCTTCCTGCTCTTCTCTTTTGTTCTTGTTAGATTTAACATGAGTGCAAATATTTGATAAGTATTTGTAATCTAAATACTTAACAGTGTGTTGAGATTATGCTCCCATTGCAACAAATGTGAAACTACTTCATGGCGACCAGGGTATTCCACTACATGGAGGCACTTTAATTTATTTGACAACTCTCTGACTGTTAAGTATTTAGATTGTTTAAACTGGTTCTCTACTATAGACAGTGGCATTATTATAAACACCTCTTATGTATCTTTGGGTATGTGTCTGACTCAGCAGGTTTTAAAGTTTTTTGAGTATCTACCAGAAAGAAGTAGGTCTCATTCAGTTTTCTTACAATTTCTTCCAGGTAAAAACACCTATCTCCATTTTATAGAACCAATCTTGTGTCAGAAAGGTTAAGTAACATGCCCAAGAGCTGAAAGTTGTGGAGTAAAGTTTTG